AGCGAGGAATTACGCGTAGTGAATGTATCTACAGTCGTCGTATTCTCAACCTAATCATATCTTCGGGACTATTTTTGAGCGATGTTTCTAACGATCTGCCTTTGGTTATGAAGTGTAGATTGTATCCACGGTAGAAGTGTGGAACAACTTAGATGGGTGATATGCAACAGGACGAACACCAAGATACAGATGCCGAAAACTCACGCAGGTGGTTGTAGTTTTGTTCATCGATGCAGCTAGCTGAACCTAAATAACTGTCTGTGAAGATGATCACCAAGGAGAAAACACACTACTAAGATTTTTTTCGACAACCGACGATCGGCTTCGCTAGTCATGGGGCTCACCAGGTTGGCGCGATTCCCAAGTTTTCGTCATGAGATTGTATGCAGTTATCGAGATACACATTCAGTTGAAGAATATCATGGAGAAAAAAGCTAGGATTCAGTCAGGTCTCCCGTTAAATTCAACGCATTTCGTCACTTGATATACGGTTTGACTGATCGTTTCTGATAGGTTGTTTCGAAACACGACTATCTCCATGAGGCGACTAAATTTCCTCGACTTTTCCGACCCCACCACAATTACATTAATGTGAAACTGGAACGAGAAAAAGTCAAGAGAGGAGTCAATTCCAGAAATGAGTGAGAACAAAGAGGCAAACGAATAAATATTTCTGGGGATTCTGAAATCAGCTGGTCGGTACCGACGATTGAGGTCGCCGGACTAGCACCATCCGCTGTTGACCAATTTTACTTAATTTCGGTCCTTGTGACTTGCAATTTCAGGGCATTTTGCAAACCCAGACAGGTGATGGGCGCCCCTTTATGAGTCAGCCGGCACACCGACTTCCAGCGTCCTATTAAATATGTCACGAACAACGGACGGCACATTGGCGCTATCAGAATACTTGCGGATCCGATGCTCATATACGTACAACGGTCCCGGTTTTTCCGCTGCTGGTAGCTTTGGATGACGGCATGCCGAATTCACTCACTGAATCTATCCCTCTAACTGACGAGGGATAGCTGAATCAGAAGCAATCCGGAGCGAAAAACCTTCATTAGATTAGCTCTCACACATCTCCAGCCTATATGGTTGCACGTTCTGCACGATTGAAATATCCTTTAACGCAAGCTGACAGTTGTGTTCCAACGTAAAATCACGCAGATAAAGTGTTCCATTCATAGCCAATTGTTCAAAAAGGAATATCTCTTAAAAGATAAAACTAGTGGCCTCAGAGTCGACTACCGGGTACTAGTAAACATCATTTACTTGAGGTGCGATCGATTCGTCAAGACGAATCAAATTACTGATCGATCAAATATGGCCTGGGCACACAGGTGCGTCCATGAACAAAGAAACACTAAAGTTGCGTACTCTAGACACCACACAGCTACAATGCACATGAATCTGGAATGTTGTGCAAATGTTGCAAACTCTCAGAGTATTGATTGCAGGTCAACGTCCAATGCAAATGATCGGATAGAACAGATACCACAGTGTGTAGGAGCAATTCAGATAAAATAAAATGGGAAGCAAGCGACTGAAAGCCGCCCACAGAAAGAACTTCAGGTATGTCAGTTGGAATCATTCAGCCTTCCTCATCAGACTAAGTGTACCTCAGCTTGGATCTGCCCGCTTATTCAACAAGAACTTCGGCTGCATGTTAGTAGCACCTTCCACAACATGCTAGACTGACGCACAAAGGCTAAGGTTGATGGGATCCAGGAGAGTGCTTCCATCTGTTGTGTCCCAAGAAGGGTGAAACCGGTAGTGGACTGCTCAAGAGTTATCAAAACCATATGAATACTGCGATCTGCCGTAGGACAGCTGGTGCATATCCACTAGCAATCCAAGTGGTCTCCCTCAGTCACGAATAATTCAAGAGATCTCGTTTACGTGATCCGTCCTGTGGAAATGTTGAAGGTTCATGACTGAACCGTCCAATGTCTCTTTGGATATAGAACTGGTTCGTCGAGACAGTATCGAAACAATTTCTCTTCTGATAGGAACATACTGACTACGTACTACCTCGAATCTCTAAAATATCTATCTCTGAAATATCTAGGCAGGGTTGAAGCGACTGCAAAGTTGTGTAGCTCTAACGCACCCAGTTGGAATGGAACGTTGGATGGGTACACCAGTCTTGTGGAGGCACCCACCTGTCTCTAAGAAAACACTCGTTCATCAATATGAATACTTTGACCAAGTACTAGGAGTATGTAGTGTCGAATACGCGAACATGCAACTCGGTCAGGAAAATTGCTCTCCACTGATGACCCTCAAATTTAGATCACGCGAAGGATGGACGATGCTTCCTCAATATTTTTATTCGCAAGACGGGGAAACGTTTCTTGACTGGATTGCCGTGTTTAGACAACCTAGTCTAAGAAATTAGCCATAGATTTAGTTGCCAAGGTATGTCATCCTCAAAAAACCCACATACTGTACAGGGAACGAATAACGTCAAAAAAAGAACTCCACTCCATGACGGAGTTTCACAAAACAACTGGACACAATTGGGAAATACGGAACTTTCGCTAACTTTCGGCCCTCACAGAAAATGGTTTTGATGCAAGCGGTTTACCGTAAATGGGGCTACTCAGATACTGGTGTTGGCGGTCACTATTTCCAGTGATTCGTGCTACTGAAGATCAATTCTAGCCCAACAGTTTCTCTAATCTGGATTTCGTCTTGTACTCTAAAGTGCGCTTATAAGCCCCGGAGCAAATACTTGAAAATTCTCTGTGAATGATCTGAATTGAGTTCCTGTCTGAACCACCACAAATTCGGCTTGGGATTTTACCAAACTATCATACCCTGACTCGGGATCCACGTACTTATATGGTGTCTCGGTGAGTTCCAGGGGTAAGTCAGTCAAGTTCAATTATTTGTCTTTTCCCTGGAGCGTTTCTTGGAAGAAATTCATTCTAAACAGCCCGAAATGTGAACTGATACATACGTCACTCGAAATACGGGGATATACCACTTTGATACCATAGATGTCCCAGACGAGCAAACGTAACCCAAGGCTTGTAGATTCGTACGTTGACCTCATGTCTTACTACAATCAAAACTATCACAGCATTCAAAATAAGTCAAATGAGTGGAGTCTGCATGGACTGAAAGTGGCGAGTCCAGTGGCTGCATGTGCACAAACAAGAGCTTACAATTTATGGGTGCAAATTGCATACCAAAAGACTTTGGCTAGTTCGTCCAGAAACACTTGCGACTTCACCTCCTCTTTGAAAACGGAAACGATGACGTCTGCATGTTCCAGATTGACAAGGTTTAAGTCACAGGTTATTTGAGCACCGAAGTTTTGGTGACCTTCCAGTGTTCGTCTCATCATCTTATCGATCACGGAATTGAATAGGAATGGAGATGGTGGGCACGCCTGTAGGACATCCCTCTATGTATGAAAGCATTCGGAGAGCTCTCCGTATACTCTCACACGTCTGGAAGTCTGAGAATGCAAAGAACGTATTATGAGCACAAACTTCTGGGGCATTCTTTGATGGGCAAGCGTGTCAAGAAGAGACTGGTCAACCAAGTCGAATGCGCCTTGGAAATCCAGGAATAACAAAATTATAGGCCATCTGACAGAGTGTAGAAGTTTGGTCAACGCAATTATACCAGGCCGGAACCCCGCTTGCTGCTCTCGGGTCAGTGTTCCACTAACCACCACAAGCCAAAAAAGCAAAAGTGGAGCCAAAAATCTCGTTTAGATCGGGAGTAACTTGATCCCCCTGTGGTTACCACTCTCACTAAAAACCTCTTTTTATAAATTCGCACAATCACCGACTCCCTTCAGTTTTAAGAAATGGCCCCTTTTCCCAAACGAAGACAAACGGATCAGACAAGCGCTAACTCAGGACTTCAGCATGTTTGAACAATGCAAGTGGTAGGTCATCCGGATCAGAAGCTCCGTGTGGCTTGAGATAAGGCAGTCATAAAACACCCAGGTCGTACGGGGTCCCCGAACACCGTCCAGGGTTCTACTTCACTTGTATGCTCCAGACGAGTATCATTTAGCAGTCACGACATTTGTTGTTCGGAGTATTCGACCCGACGGCCGAGGCGTGTTTCTTTATTCAAGATGACCATTCCATTCTGATATTTGATTTTGTATCCCACAGGTGGTCACTGGAGACCGATCACACGGATTGGTAAAATAATTTCCTCCTGACTAATTGAGCCTCCTCCATTTTCTCAGCTTTCCCTGTCCACAAGACTTCACGGTCGCCACGCATGCTCACCTTCACTTGAGATCTGATAATTCATTGAGCTAAATTATTTTTGGGATCGAAATAGATGTTTCTCCGAGATCTGAACAGTTCCACTGTTCGGTTTGATACCTAGTGCTTGAGTGAGCTTGAGCGCCAAGCGAAACTCTAAGCATTGTGTAAAGAAGTGGTGATCTCGTCCCAGTTTGAATTCACACCTGAAGTTATAGCAGTTAGAGGATTCTGGTAAATTCGTCCAGCGTTCAGATCTGCCAGTCTCTCAGTGATTAAGCGATTCCCCTAATCTTACGCGGCCTCGGAAAACTAAGGGGGAAGCGTGGTCGAAATCCACAAATTTGTTTCAAAACGACCGGCAGTCAGTTGTTGATCCACGCCACCGGTAACTGATGGCAATGTAATCGATTTGAGTTCATGTTCAGCATGCCGTTGGAAGACGCCGTGTGGCCCACTTCGGCCATTTCGGAAGTTAGTACTGCGATCAGTACACAGATGATCATTCATAATTATCTGTACGTACCGAGTCTAATCCATGTTGACCTCCTAACTGAGTCTGCCCACTTGTGCATTCAGAACCCCGGCAACCAGCACGATATCTGAGCAACAGGGAATTCAGCGCTCAATAGAATTTGTCTCTAATGGTTTCAGAGCTACATTCGGTTAGGGCGTAAGCGGTTAGGACAGATAGACTTCGATCAACTTTCCGCTTGCGACTTCTGCACAGAAGTTGCCAGACAAACCACAGAGAGGCGACTATCAACGAGTATCCGCCCGGTGACTTAGGGCGATACCAACACCTGCATGCCCCACCGCAGAAGCCTCAATACCGACAGAGGCGCGCAGACTGGAACGAGCGGAGAGTGATGGGGCGATTGGTTCAAGAACCATGACTGCATCTCGAATTCTTGTTTCTGATACACAGCACACACTAATACCAAGCGAATCCAGTGTAAGAGCGAAAGCAGATGTTGTCCTGTGTGCTACAGAATGCGGACATTGAAGGCAACCAGATAGACGGAGCGTCGAGGCTTGAAGATTGATTTCCAGATGCCTGAAGATATCGGCACCAGATGACGCGCAGATTCTACTTGTGAAATCAATGCAGGAGGAACGGAGACATTAGTCCACACTGGTGGGCTTTCAAGGAAATTTATTATAAGGGTGGGGAGAGGGGAAAATTACATGAAATAAGGAGAAGGGAGGCGTTGCGGTAGGCTGTTTTCGCCTACCCGCCCTGCAGCAAGAAGGGCAACTCAGTTGGTGACACCACGCGAAAGCCGATATGGCATGAGTACATTTGTATGTGTGCAACTCATGGTTGTGAGCTTGGATGCTGCAATGACGCTCACGCCCAGACAGGAAGACGATAATGGTTCTTAACCAAAGCCCCTGGCTCGAAAATCTGACCGCAAGGCAGTAGTGTTTGGCTGGAAATGCAAGTGTAGCTCAATTTTTACAGAACAATCCACCAGGAAGATTAGGAGACTGTGTTCGTCAGACTTCAAGCCACTGACCAGACTCTGTGAGTGCCGTGCGGACACCCCCTATCATAGCCCAATGATTCGCCAATGTACACAAAACGTCACACCACTGTAAGTTCCAGTCCATCACGAAGTGATGGACTGAGAGTAGTCACGGTAAAAGAAATTCACTAAAAACACCACGCGTCTATACGGAGGGCCGCAGTCGGTGGAAGTAATTTAGCCGGAACTGCACAGAAGCATAAAATCCACTGAGAAGGCGCGCTTTGCAGCCGATGATACCTAAAACGTCTCGAGAAAAACAGGGCCTGGCCTTTGGAATGGCTGAGACAGCTGTTCTAGAAATGCCCATAAATATTTACTACTTCCTGAGTAACAGTAGGCGGAGTTAATTGCTAAATTGGTGAGGCCGGTGAGAAGAAGCCATCTACCTCAGGAGCTTCTTCCAAAGTAAGCAAATAATAACTAGTCGAATAATTAAGTTGACAGTACTGGTCACCCGTGTATTTCAAAAGGTGATAGTTCACTTAGAAACCAATAGCTGCGGAACTGGCTAATTTTGTGCAGTCGGTGACGATTCATCGTGGTCTACGCAGCTGAGTAGATCCAAGCCAACACATTAGGGGAAAGAAAACAGCTACAACCGAATATTTCGATGGAATTCCAAACCGGATTGCCTACATCCACACAGGCTCCAAAAGGAACCTTCTTTATGGGAAAGTAGCCATGCGAGAGAACAAATTCTGTCGGGTAAACTGTCTTGGAGAAGCACAGAGGTCCACACCATAAATCGATCTATACAAATATCGAGGCTGTCCAAACATGGCGTCTGAAATAGTCTAATGAATACCGAATCCACCGCTACTATCTGATCCATAAGCGACTTAAGTCGACGAGCAGACCACGTGGTTGACTTGTCTTCCTTATATTTGACAACGGTCTGAGAATGAAAAAGTATCTCGTTAGAACAGAAGTAGGGTATTAGAATAAACCACTTTCATAAGTGTTCAAATTGTTTAGCACTATTCTGCCTTGACAGGAAGTTTTCAGGGTCAAATGCGCATCTGCGTACGGTTGAATAGACAAAGCTCATTGAACATCGATTCATCTACCCCATCTAACAGTTTGATTGATTATCGGCTGAATGATTTTTACTCACGAGGAAGTGTCACGCCAGGTCATGTTAACGTACGTCGGGTTCAAGTTTGCAGCATCAAAATGATTTCATTATCCGGACAAAACAGAACGAAACAACGGTGTCAGGGATAACCGACAACGTATGTAAAAATCATATCGTCACAAACAGACTGGACCTTACCATGGTGTGACGGTTTCCGAGGCGCATTCGACTCGGTTGACCGGTCTGTTCTGCTTGAGACGCTTGCCCACCAAGGAATGACCCGGAAGTTTGTAAACATCATACGATCTTTGTATTCTCAGACTTCCGGACGTGTGAGAGCGTACGGAGTGCTCTCCAACAGCTTCCGTACACAAAGCGGTGTCCGTCAGGGATGCCCACTCTCTCCATTCCCTTTTAACTTTGGGATCGATGAAACAATGAGACGAACGCTGGAGGGTCTCCAAAACCCTGGTGTTCAAATAGCCTGTGAAGAAAGCCTTGTCGATCTGGAATATGCAGACGACATCGTTCTCGTGTTCGAAGAGGAGGAAAAGGCGCAAGTATTCTTGGATGAACTGACCAAAGTCATCCCGTCCTTTGGTGTGCACTTTGCACCCACGAAGTGTAAGGTCATGCTTGTGGACGTGCAGTCACTGAACACGCCACTTACAATCCAGGGAGAGGTACTGGAAGTTGTGGAGCGTTTTACGTATTTTGGAAGTTGTATTACTTATGATTGTAGTGTGATAGAGGAGGTGAATGCACAAATCTGCAAGGCTCGGACCGCGTTTGCTAATTTGAGACACCTGTGGCGTCAGAATGGTTTAACACTGAATCTGAAAGGACATATGTATCAAGCTACAATACGGGCTGTCTTGTTGTATGGCTGTGAGACTCGACGTATTCGAGCAGCGGAATTGAGACGTCTTCAGATGTTCGACAATTGTTGTCTCAGAACCATAGCTCGTGTGGGTTAGTGTCGGCGAATCCGTAACGAGGCAGTTAGAAAGCGTGTTTTCGGTTGTGTAACGGGTACTTCCAGCACCAGAAGCTGCGTTGGTTGGGACATGTGTTACGTATGTCAAACCATCGTTTGCCGAAGAGAGTGCTGTTTTCCATGCC